GGTATATTTTGTTAATGTAAATTTTTAAAAAATGTCAAAATTAGAAAATTTTCAAAGTTAAGTTTCCTGTTAGGGAAAAGGGAACTTTTATGTATATATTCAGTTTAAATAAACCATATTTGAATAAAGTGCAATCATTGGCTGATGATTTCTAAAGTAACCAATCATTGTATCTTTTCGAGCAGTGTAGGTAACTGTACCATTTTATTTGCGCGGTACAAACTTGCTAGTATGTGATATATTCACAACTTTTGAACTGTCAAACGGTTTGAAACGAAATCAAATATCTTATGCATTTTTGTAAAGACACGAGAAATAATAAAAAAGGTTCTGTTTTTGAGATACATATCCTTAACTGCAGAATGATTAATTTGTTATTGCATGAAAATACCTAGAAAAGAGTACGAGATGAAGTTCAAAGTTTTATTATTGTATTAATATGAGTTAAAAAAGATAAGAAAAATAATTAGGGAAGGTATTTATAAAATTATTTTTATAATGCCATGCAGTAACTCATATTAACTTTTATATTTATGTGCACATGAATATGTACCAATTATTTTATAAAATGTAAATAATCTTGAATTACATTTACTATCATTGCATATTGTTAAAAATGGATCTAGAAGCAAATATAGTTGAACGGTTGGAAAAACTAAGACAGTGGCAAGTGGAGCAACAGGAACGATTATTTAAACAACAGCAAATGCAAAGAGAAATATTAACTCAAAAACAAGATTGTATATATAAAGCACTTGAATTATCATTACAAGAGCTTGATCTTAGTGGAAACATATTGCATGCAAACAACTCAATCGAAATTAAATCAACTTCCGAGGCTGATAGTGAAGATGTGATAAATTATAACAAATCACAGAGTATAGGCAACTCTATGGAAATGGTTAGTGAAAATGTAAATAATTTTATTTCTCGAGAACAATCATCTCATAAAGATTTAATTGATGAGGCTATTACTTATAATGATCATGAAAAACAACGAATGAGAGGTAATAATGACAAAGGTTTAATGCTATTTTCACCTGAACAAGGGAAAAAGATAGATCAATTTATTATAGAGGGAATAGCACCACTGTTGTCCAAGAAAAATTGTATTTGCATAGATGATGTACCACTCCCTTCTCCAAGAAAAGATTTTCATACATTACTCGAAGAAAAACTAAAAGATTCTGAAAATGTGTCAGAAGAGAAATCTAGTAGCAATTCAACAATTAAGATGAAAAAACCATTTCTAAGGAAAGGACAAGGTTTATCCAGGTTTAAATTAAATAAAGATTCACAAGCGTCTTCAACAAAACCAAGATTACATAATGCATCATCCTCTACATGCACACAGTCTGAGCATTCTAGACATCTTAAAAACGAATTTCGAAATAATAACACAAATAGATCTGTAAAAGCTAAAGAAGTAACAAAATATCCGCAAAAACAGTTGTGTTTGAAGAACGTACCACTACCAAAAAAGAAACTTCGCAGTAAATCAGAATCTAGTACTTCAGTTGCTCAAGTGGAGGATTATATCAATGACTTTAGAAATACAGCTGAATTAGGTACTTCAGACTTTCAATCGAAAACACAAAAAGAAATCGAAGAAGTAAGGATGTTTGAATTGTTAGAAGAAAAAGCAGAAAATTCCAGCTTCTGTTCTACATCTAGCACTGTCGTTGCATTTTTGCAACAATCAACACCATTCAAAGCAAAACGACATCTAATGAGTCCAATAATTAAAAATCCTAAGTGTCAGTCAGTTTTAAAAGCCAACAATGCTTTTGTACATGTGAACAGTGTGCCTTCTTGTGATTATAAGTCTATTTTAAGTAAAAAAGAATTGTTTTCAAAGGAAAATAATAACACTTTGTATGGTATAAAACCTTCTGAACAGTTTAAGGAGAATACTAAAGTAAATACGAACATAAAAAAATATATACCATCAAAAAATTTAATTCAGTCTACATGTGAGCAAGAAAATATGTATGAAACTGCCAATGTTGAAGAAAACGATATAGATATTAGTCTTCATGTCAGATTTTCAGAATATAATGAGTATAAAACTATTGGATTAACGGACACATCAAGTATATCGACTGAATCTTTGACGGTACAAAATTTTTGCGATGGAAAGATTTGGAACGACTCTACAAGTCTGGAAATATCTGATACAGAAATGTCACAGTCTTCAATCATTATGCAAGACAAGGTTCAAACCAATAATTATGAATTAAAATTTGAACAATGTAGCATACAACAAAAATTAAATTATGATACACAAATACATGAAAGTATAAAGCAAGGGAATGCTATAAATTATAATGAGGATGTGCATCAACATAATTATAATGATGAATCAGAATTTTCAGACACTACTGTGCAAACATTAGATAATGAGCAAAGTATTTTAGAAGAATATAAGAACACATCGATGTTACAGGATACAAATAATTTTCGGAACACTCAAAACTCAGAAAACTGTAGTGATAAGGAAACAATTGAACTAGTAGATAGTTACAACAATGTGGCCATAATTGAAGATGAAAGAAATGAAGAGAATCTGCAGAAATCAAATGAAACCATTTTTAAATCAGAACTTCTGAAAACCCGGCTATTAGAACTTGAACACGAAATCAATATATTTCGTAAAGAAAATGCAGCTTTATCTGTTCAGCGTAACAAATTTCAAGAAGATCACAGAAATTTACGGAGAGAATATATAGAAAAAGAGAAAAAGTTAGAAGAAACTAGGAAACAAATGGAGGATCGTTTACAAGAAGAAAGAAAGAAATTGGTCCGTGAAAAAACTGCATTGGAAAATAGGATGCGGGATTCGCAAGAAAAAGCTCAACAGAGTAAACTAGAAAGACGAGAAATTCAAAATTTAAGACAAGAAATGGAAACGTTGAAAGAAGAATTAAATCTGAAGGAAAGTAGATGGTATGCTGCACAATCCAGACATAAGTGTCAGATGAGGATATTGAAATTAGAAAACAGTAAACTAAAGCAGGAAATTGAAAAATTACAGTATTTGAAGAAAAGTAATGCTAAAACTAAAGGAAAATTGGGAACCTTCTCAAATACAAAAGCAATTCACCAAATTAATAAACAAATTAATATGCAGAATAAAGAGCCTAGGAAAGGCAATGATAACTCATCATCAAATGAGAAAGATCAGAAGTCATTGGAACCAATAACAAGATCAACAAGTACAATTGGAACTCAAGATGTAGAAAGTTATAAAAACAGTGTTATGAATGAAAAATTACAGAAATGCCAAACAAGCGCGATAAACGTTGCCAAAAAGCGTAATTTATATGAGACTTTGATTAAAGAAGCAACATTAGATTTAACAAATAGTCAAGAACAATATCAAGTCGCCAGGAATTTAAATGTATCTAAGTCTGACTTAGATAATGAGTCTGGAAAATTAAATGATTCGATAGATGCCATGAAGAATGATTCTGAAGAGTTAATTAAAGATTCAGATGCTGTGCTTTTTAATTATACAACAAATAACACGAGTGAGCAATTTACAACTCCATCTAAAATGTCTCATAAACATCATAATCACAACACAGCCTCAATATCATCAGATGAATTATCATCAAATACTTGTATAAAGAAAATGCCATCACCTTGTCAAAATAATTCTGACATTGATATACAAAGCAAATTCGTAAAGCAAATTGAACATTTGGATGGACACATTGAGTATTGGTATCCAAATGGAAATGTTAAAAAGATATTTCCAGATCAAGGTTTAACTAAATTATTATACTATAATGGAGACGTTCGAGAAACTAGTAAAGATGGGAAAGTGAAATATTTCTATGCATCAACTCGTACATGGCATACAACAATGCCAGATGGAATAGAAATTTTAGAATTTGCTGAGTAAGTTATGATATTCATGTACATGTATACTATTATATTTGCTAATTAATAATAATAACATCTTTGTCATGTAGTGGTCAGATAGAAAGAAGATTACATGATGGTGCTATAGAAGTATCATTTCCTGATGGCTCTACACGAGTTTCAGAATCAGATGGTTCTGAAAAGGTGACTTTGCTAGATGGGACTATAATTCAAACATTTACTAATGGAGACAAAATTTTTACTTTACCAAATGGACAACGGGAGATACATACTAAAACGCATAAGGTATTAGTAATAATTTTATTGAAAATTACATATTTAATATGTTTTGTGCAATATATTCTCTATGTTTTAGAGGCGAGAATATCCTGATGGTACAGTTAAATTTATTTATTCTGATGGTACTCAGGAAACAAGATATTCAAATGGTAGAATACGTCTCAAAGATAAAGATGGTAATCTTTTAATGGATTCATACCAATAAGATCTGTAGAAAATATACAAAAATGGGGATTAGAAATAATACTTGCTAAGTAGTTCAATTAAAATATATAAATATATCTTAAATAATTTTTATTCACATGTTATTGAAAATATGATTAAGTGTAATTAATACTAATATAATAAATTACAATGCATGACAAATAAATAAAAACTAAATTTTACAATTTTATAATGTTAAAAAATAAAAATATTTTTTAATAATATTGAATTTTCATTTCTTGTTATTTCTTGTTTTCTCATCATTAATAAAATTGAAGTCCTCTACTGAAACCTATGAGCGGAAAAAATATTTTATCCTCACATCACTTACTATACTAAATTCCAATGTTCTTTTAACAATTTAGTAAATATTGGAATATCAAGTTATTATTCATTCAAATTTCAGTTTAATTAAATAAAGTCGATGTAATAGTAATACTAAACGAAAAAAATTGTAAACACAAACGAAATCGTATTAGATGCACTGACAGAAAAGGTCGTGGAATTTGAAATGTAACAGTGGCTTAGCCGAGGTAACTTACGCACTGTAAAGATGCCCATGAGATCAAGCTTTAAAAAATGGGCAACGCGATTAACTGCATTAGGTGGTGCAACATTAGTTTATTGGAATATTTGCGGTAACAAAGAATTTCTGCAGGTGCGAAATTCGTGGACAACGAATGCAAACCCGTCGGTAAAATGGAACCACAACTGGGATAGGTTATACACTTTATCACTGTTATTGATAAAAACACATTAATGACTTCATAATGAGATATTGACGTGTAATTAAGATTTGTTCTTGCATTCTATTTTTTGTGATTCTCCATGGGATCATTTAACAAGAAATTTTTACGTTATCTGTTTTCTATCGAACAAAAGTTGTGTGCAATAAACATTTTTTACTTAAATGTAGAAAATACATTTATACATATAAATACGAATGTATGTAGTATTCATTCCCCTACATGTCTAAATAAATTTTCTTATAGTTTCTCATGAAAATAATTTGTTAATAATTCATAAGATATGTATTACATTTTAATGTTAACTTGTAATGTATTGTATTTGTAACTGTAATTCTAGACGGGATCCAAAGAGTTTAGTGAAGCCAGTAAAAATAATCAGCGAGAATGATGAAAACACATATAACAAGGAATTATCACTAAACAAAGCAAAAGCTACGCGTCACATAATTTTGATACGTCATGGACAATATAATGTTACAGGCAAGACAGATTTTGAAAGGAGGCTTACAGAACTCGGTTAGTATATTTTACATGTATTATTTATTATATTTGCTATTATTACTTGATTTGTATAAGAGAATTTTGGTAATTACAAAAATTTGTGAAACATGAAGGTAAAAAACAAGCTGAAACAACAGGGAGAAGGTTACAAGAATTGGGCTTCCCATACAGTTTGATTGTACGATCAACAATGACCAGAGCTCAAGAAACTTCCAAAATTATAGAAAGAAGTATTAAGAATGTAGCTGTAGAAGACGATCCATTCCTCACTGAAGGTGCACCTATACCACCTGAACCACCAATTGGTCATTGGAAGTCTGAAATACATGTGAGTATATTATGTACAGAATACATTATAAATAAATATATCTTTGATTAATATATTTCAGTTTCATGAAGATGGACCTAGAATAGAGGCTGCATTTAGGAAATATTTTCATCGTGCTGAACCAACTCAGGAAAAAGATTCATATACTGTTATTGTTTGTCATGCGAATGTTATTAGATATTTTGTGTGCCGGTAAATTATTTTTTTCATACACTGTTTTTCTAATGATAAATAAATATAATATTCAAATTATTATGTATTGCAGGGCACTACAGTTTCCACCTGAGGGCTGGTTACGCCTAAATTTAAGTCATGCAAGTATTACATGGATCTCTATTCTACCAAGTGGAAGAGTATCACTGTGGTGTTATGGTGACACTGGGCACATGAAACCAAATTTAATTACATCTAATTAAAATTAATATTGCTTATTATTTTGTACTATAAACATTTATAATCATTTAGATTTAACATCATTTTGAAGTAATAAGATAAACGATATATTTTTATGTCCTTTATCCTCTTTTTAACTTATAAAAGTAGTAATCATTATCATAAAATTTGAATGCTAATTATCCGTTCGTGGTATTCAGAAAGAGTCCTATTAAAAAATTGGAAAAATTGTAGTTCTTTTATTATTGTTTTTTATATTATTCACATTTTCTTTTACACTTAAGATAGTTGAAAGACTGACAGAAAATATTTATGTGTACACTGTACACACAAGGTTTTATCAATAGGTACCAATATTCAAGCTTGAATCACATGTATTATAGTAACACTCACACTAACCTTACAATTTTTGATTTACAAAATTATTTTACAACTATTAGTTATCTATATTTGTACAAAATGC